AGAGAAAGAGAGAGAGAGACAGAGAGAGAGAGAGAGAGAGAGAGAGAGAGAGAGAGAGAGGAAGAAAAAATATTATTCAAAATGTAAACTGATGTGAGATGAAAACAACTCTCGAGTTTGCAGAAGTGCTGTGGCTTTATCCATCTAACTGCACAGTCACTATGGGACAGACCACAAAACAAGCCGAGCTACCACCTTCATGGTGGCAAGAACTTATCACTCCAGCTTAGTGGGACTACCAACCCAAAAGGGTAAAGGAATGAATGAGCAAATTACAGGATACAAGTTTTCCTTTCATCCCTGGGCCTAGAAACAAAAAAAAATTATTGTGACACAATCTCCATGCATAAATGAAGGCCATTAATTTTTGTGGATTAAGTCTCTTCAGTGTTAGTTGGACATTAAGCATAAAAATTATATTTAGAACAAAGCCAAGACAGTGAAGGTATTTCACAGAAGTTATAATCTTATGCATACGGACCTTTGATAAAATTCTGTATGCCAGTTTTAAGTGGGCTCTTGTCTATTTTTTATTGGTTGTTATAGTACAGTTTATTGAAATGTATTTTTTAAATGCATGATATCTTTATGATATAAAATACATATTATTCTAGTTTTAAAAAACATAAAGTAACATATATGTGCTTTATAAACTTTCTCCCTCTCCATACAACAGCTGGTTTATTTCAGACTGTTTATTTGGAATTATTTTTAAAAGCTGCAGCTCTGAACTATTCCCTTCAGCCTTGTTACAAGTCCCATTACACTGCTTCAAAAGGAAAGAAATGTGTTTCACCTCCTCAGACCGTGTCCCTTTGCCCTCTCTGCCTCCAACTTTTTACATTTTTTGCTCTCCTCGGGGCCACTCACGCTGGTAACGTGGAAATGGAAATGATTGCATTTGCACAGAATGAGCTGTAAAGTAGCACAGCTTAGCACGTGTGCATGTGTTTATTATCTGCTTTTCATGACAGAGCCCACTGACTCTGTATGTTGCCCTTCATTATTGGCGTGATGGGATTATGTGCCTTGTAGCCTCAATCTCCTGATTCTTGCAGCCTCTGGGAGAGCAGTTAAAACTCAGTGGCGAGAGCTCTCACAGTAAACCCCATTATTTACCTGGGGTTGGGGAGGAATATTTCTCTTCTTATTTTTTTCTTCAAACGCTGTGTGGGTAGAAAAGCAATTCACCTTATTTTAATGAATAAAAGATAACTGATTTTGGAGAGAGTGAGTATATAATTTTCAGATTATTTAATAATACATATCATATATTCTCTAGGGTTGAATGTTAGTACTGAAGCACATTGCAACCGTTTAAAAAACCCAGAACTCACTTAAACTTTTTAAAGCATTGTTTATAACAAGTCTTTTCACGTTCTGTCAACCTTGGTTCCAAGAGTCATCCTCAATTGGTTTTCTAAAAGTCATCAAGGTAAAACATTTGCAATTATTTGCCAAAAATATTCACTTTATGTTTGAAGTTTTATTTATAAAAGTTTGAGAAAAATGCTAGATTTTTTTCCCTCACAATTAATATTCAGGGAAATAAAAATATCCTCACATTAGTAGAAATGAGTTTTCATTAAAATTTAACAAATTCAACTCAATAACAAAATATTACCCACCGTATTTCTGTAGTTTTGTAACTCTTGGTTACTTTTAGCTTTTGTTTCTCTAAAGCAAAAAACATACGATATCTTTCTTTAATCAGTTTCTTGTCTTGAGGGCAAATATTTTAGTACTGATAGAAATCATTTTAGTGCAGTAATAAACTATAGGAGACCTCTACATTAAAGAATGACTTTGCTGTCTGTTTTCATGAAAGGATTAGTATTTATATGAAAGAAGTGTGCAAATTGATGTTAGGTCAAAAGAAATGGCATTTATGAGCTGAAACTCTCCAGCCGGGATGCCTCAATGATATTAATAATTGCAAGTAAGTATTCTTGCAAATGAAAATACTAATTAGGGCAATAATCCTCTCATTACTCCAGCGCTGATCCCGTAAGAAGCCCTTGAACTGTAACTTTTCAAGAGCACTCTCTGAGGCGTGCCTTGCCCTCCAGCTGAGCTATCCAAGTTAGACAGACGCCAGGAGAGGAGTTCTCACTGCACAGTTCCTGCCCGCAGCCCTGTTTGCCACAGTGCTTGCTCACTTGCCCATCCTGTGGGTGCTGACCCACTGGAGGGTGGTACCTTTCCCAATTATCTGAGTTCGGCTTCAGCCAGAGGGCGGCTGTTCCTTGAGAGCAGCATGGTGTGCTGTGCTGGTAGCTTTTCTTCCTTGTGCCCATATATGTCACTTCACCTCACGATTGCACTGTATCCAATTCCTCTGGAACAGGAACTGAGCAAAGGAAGAGCCCGTAGCCCCTGATTACCCGCCACCATTTCTTTTGTAATCCTTTTATTCATATAGCTATGTTTCTTTTTTATTTTATTTTTTCTTTATTTATTTTTTCCCATAATTGTATTGATAAACAAATAGCAATGAGACAGTTTCAAATCAAATTGGTAGGACAGTTTCAATAATTAACACATTACATACATTCTTCCTAGTGCTTAATTGCTGTACAAGATGCAGACATGATATCTTATTTACAAACACCATTAGAACAAATCACTCTATTCATTGAGAGAATGTAACTATATATCTATCCTAACCACTTTGAATACACAAATACAAAATGGACATTCATCTCTATATGATTTTTTGTTAAGTTCTGTTATTTGAATATTATAGGTATATTTACTCAGCAAGATATTCTAAAAGAGTCCAGTAGCCCATAATAGTATTGGGTCTTCCACTTGACTGGCAATGTCAGAAATTGTTGACCTGAGTCCCCTATACAGCTCAACATAACAGCATGGCTTTACTTCTAATATTTCATTTTTATACTTTTCTGCTGGATGGTTAAGACCAAGGTAAAGCAGGACCTAGGCAACAAGAGTTGTATCTTTTGGGTCTGATAAGGTCAGTGAAATTCCCTCAGGATTTATGCTGAGATCCTGTAACTCAGATTGTAGAACCTATGTCAGTGTCAGCCATGTGGATGAGTCACGGCCATTACTTGGCCAATGTGCTCTCTGTGAAAGCCTGAGAGAATGTTTTCTTTCCATGTGACTCTCCTTAGGCACACTCTACATCATTGATCACTTTTCTCTTTGGCCCCATAATCTCCTTGATCAGAAAATTTGAGACACTACTGAGTTACATGACGTTATAGTACAAGTTCTCATATGTCCCGAGTCTTAATTGACCTTAGAAGGCTAGGGCCAAAGTGTTGGCTTTCCTTGCAGCCCTCCTTTTTCTCTAATTTTGGTCTACAAACTTAGGTGGTTAACCATCCAGAAGACAAGCTTATTGTTATTACCATACAACTTAGATTGTTAAGCTTAACCTCAATATCTGTCTGCATATCAAACATATTAAGCATAATATGGAACAGGTATTTTTCATCAAGTATTGATATGTTGAACTTTAAGTCCCTACAGAATATGATAAAAAAACATGTAAAAATTAGAATATATGTTGTTGGAGAGGCTGTGGGGAAGAAGGAACCTTTCTCCACTGCTGGTGGGAATGTAGACTGGTGCAACCATTATGGAAATCAGTATGGAGACTCATTAGAAAAGTTGGACTGGAAATCCCAATTAAACCAGCTGTTCCTCTACTGGGAATTTTCCCAGAGGATCTGAAAACATCATATCATAGTGATACATGTGTGCCTATGTTTATAGCAGCACAATTTGTGGTAACCAAATCTTGGAAACAACCAAGATGCCCATCACCTGAGGAATGGTTGAAAAAGATGTGGTATTTTTACACAATGGAGTAGTATTCAGCTGTTAAGAATGATAAACTCGAAGCCTTTATATTGAAGTGGATGCCACTTGAACATATACTCATAAGTGAAATAAATCAGACACACATGTATAAATATCATATAGTTTCCCTAGTATAAGAACTCAAAAGAAGAAATACAAATAGAAAGGTATATTACAAGTAAAAGGAAAGCAGGATCTCAAGGTCTATCTAATCAAGAGAGGGAAAGGAGAAGAGCTTGGAAACCTGAATAAGTCAAGCCATACAGTTATATGTAGAAGATGGGCAAGGGAATGATCCTGAGAATCTTCAGAAGAATTTTGATTCTAACAGTAAATTGGATAGATTCTCACCCTGACTAACTATATATACTGATATCTGTGAACTAAGCTACTGCACTGCAGATGGTAATTTGTAATAGTAGTTTCATGCTTGGAGTGCCTGTCATTCTGGTCTTCTGAATATGGGCAGCTTGTCATGACATGCCAGTTGCCACTATGATGTCTCTCAGGTAGGTGGATGTTCAAGAAGAAGGGGGTGGTGAATGAAAGCAAGAGACAGGAAAAGGAATATTGCGGGACTGTCCTGCTTCCAGGTTGTATATGGTGAGATTTTTGGACTTATGTGCAAACATAAGAAGTGTATAATTCTTCATGCCTATTTTTAAAACATATAGCTATGTTTCTTTATTCAAAACTCCTATGAGTACTTCATGGGAACATAGGATGCAGTGTAACAATGGTATTCGTGAAATTATCTTATAATTAAATGAATGAATCATGTGTTAAAATAGACTTTGAAATTCTGGACTCATGGACCTAATACGATGTTCATTGTTTTGAGCGCTTTCCATGAAACTATTTAATATAATCTACAAAATTATCTCACCGAAATCTTCAGTCAATAGAGAGTTCAGTTGTTCTTCTACCAAAGAGCGCCTTCCATTATGAAGTAAATTATGCACTATAATGACTGACTTTATTTATTAAACTAAAAGAAAATTATTCAACAATTTAGTGAAACATATATGGCTATTATTATTTATACCTCATTTCTAGCATAATGTTATTAATATTAGCAAGATAAAGGAATAACTAATGTTAGTGGAAACTGTAGATATCCTCAAGGCTAACTTTGTAATATTTTTTAACATTAGATAATGTTCATGAAATTTAATTGATCCCAGGTTACTTTTAAAAATTGAGTTCTTTCTTTTTTAAAGAAAGTTTACGAAACGTTCCAAATTGCCTTTCATGGGAATCATTTACCCAAACGATAGGGATGTAATTAACATTAAGTCAAATATAAAATTACTTATCTGTGTTATTTGTCTGAGATACTTGAATTGCAGAATATGATAGAAAATTTACACCTTCAGAATAATTTAACCAATAAATACAAAAAAGATTTATACATGAAAATTTGTATTTAGAACTGTAGCTTCTTAGTATCATTATTAAGCTTGCTAATTGTGTTGGTAAACTTTCTGATTACTGGCACAGTATTTCCAAATGCACATCTTGGAGGCAATGGCTTCTTTATTGTATGACTTCAGTTCAGGGACAGCTGGTTCCAAGGCAGAACCATCTCTGAATGGCAGAAGAATATTGTTTGACTCATAATATCCAAGCAACTGAGAGTAGGAGAGGAAGCCAGAAGGGGGCCAACTCCAGAAATTGTCCCCCTGGTCACAGACCTGCTTCCTCTAACTGGGCTTAGCCTGTGGAGTTGTACACTCCTCATTGCATGAGTTTCCCCAACTACAATTCCTCTACAGGACTCTCAGTCCAGTCAGGTTGATAAGCAAGATTACTTTGCACAGAAACAATGCTTACGTTGCCTGAATTATGTTGACTAGTATGAATTTCAGTTGAGAGATGCTAAATGTTGTGTATACAACACACATCGCTATACACACATGCTCACACCTTAAGCTGGATCTATAATTCTTAATCCAGATCCATAATGCAAGTGGGTGTTTTTGATTATAAATGCAAATAAAAGCGATAGTATCACAGATTAGCCCATTCATACCCTTCAGTTAATTTATCTAGAATGTAATCATTATTTGTTTTATGAAAATACACTATTTCATATAAATTGCTTTGCATTGTAAAAGTTATTTGGTTACTACAGTATTTGTAGAATCAGTTATGTACAATGTCCTGAAACATTACTACAGGTTATAATTATTAGGCTTATTGAAGTTCTAAATTATGTTTCTTCCTAATATCTGTTTTCCTTGGTCATTGATTTTCTACCATTTTTGTTGAAAAAACTCATTTTGTTGAGCTAGGGAGAGTTCAGTGGTCTAAGTGCCTGCCTGGCAAACACAAGGATCTGAGTATAATTCCTGATGCCACTGACCACCGAAACTGGTCATGGTGGTACATGCCTGTAATCCCAGCACTGGAGAGGCTGACACAGGAAGATCACTATGAGTCCGAGCTTTGAAGTCAGACTCTGAAACCAAATAAATAAAAGATTGTAAAAAACTCAATTTTTTTTTTTCTTTTAAACACTTATTTAGGGAAACATTTTTAAAAAAAAAATATATATTTGCTACAGAGTCTCACTATGCAACTTGGACTTGTAGTGATTCTCCTGTTTTCAGGCTCCCCAGCACTGGGATTACAGGCATGCACCACCATGCCTGGTCTTGGGGGCTGAATCAACATGCATTTGATGCCAGGGATGGAACCCTGGTCCCTGCGCTTGCCTAAGCAGGCACTTAGTTTGCTGAGCTATCTCACCAGCCTTAGGGAAACACTTCTTAAAAGTTTCAACACTTAGGTCAACATCTCTCTTTCTATGATATTATGAAATAAACTAATGCTTAAGTTTGAAGATTGGCATACTTTATTGGGATGGAGACTTCATCTAGCTAATAAAGTCATCGTAACAATTATTCAGTAAAGTTTGATAAATCTCAGTGCAATAATGTCTTTGTTCCGTCCTTTAAACAGTGAAACTTCCAGGTCTCAGGACTTATGTTGATCCACATACGTATGAAGACCCAACGCAAGCTGTTCATGAATTCGCTAAGGAACTGGATGCCACCAACATATCCATTGACAAAGTCGTTGGAGCAGGTAAATAGCCAGTGTAGTGCAATTACACCAGGCCTAAGAATATCGCATTGGAAACAGGTGTTTTATAATTTCGTGATCAAAGACAGGCAATAAATAAGTGGAGTATATAATGGACCATAATGATCTCCAAGGTGCCAGACTTACAGGCTCTGAGACGACGGCTGCCATTTATTTATTGAATTTCAGAGCTGGCAGCAGCAGCAGCAGTTCACTCTTCCTGAGGCTACGCTGATCGTGTGTCACAAAGCTGTTAGCTAAATACGGGTAACAGGATAAAACAGAGTTTCACTTTAATCAAGCCGAGTAATTGAAAACTTTGATTTTTCAAGTTTAAGATCCTGTTTAGAAGAACAGAACAGTACACAACAAAAGATAAAATCTTGATAAGCTCCATAAATCCCATCACAACCATTTTGTATACATATTCGAAATGACATGAGGTACTTCACTTTAAAATACTTTCATAACTTGATATAGTCTCCTTATTTTTTTTGTTTTGTATTTCTTTTCTTATTTTTTTACATCTATACTCTACTTTTTTAAGGTTGTCTTTTTACAGGTATTTTTGTGTTCTATTCCTCAATTAATCATAGATTCATTAATAAGACTCAGTGAATTTAATGGAATTGCATTTTCTCAACAAAAAAATTTAGATACAAATTAAGTAACAGTATTGTATGTACTTACACAGGAACACATGGACACACTACAATGTATGGCAGTGTGCAAACCAATAAAATTACTATCCTAAAGTAAAAATAAACCATACTCAACAATAAAGAGTTCTATACAGTTGTTATATCCTTTGATGTTATCCTCAGGCTAGTTGTGTTGATGTAGGAATTAGAATGAAAGATCGAGAAAGTAACTCATTGCATTATGCATAACCTATCAGATCACATTTTATGCGAGTGCTATATTTATATATTTATGACTGATCCTTCTTTACACAAATATGCATGTAATTGCCTCTATTTTTCTATACACCAAAGCAGCATTTAAAATTCAATCAGTAGTTAGTATGCAAACAGGACAATCTTGAGTAATTCATATTATCCAAATAAAATGATAGCTTTCTAAAGCTTCTCTTCTAATTTTCTTAATGTCTCATCCTCCTAGAAGCTCACACATGCAGGTAATATTGCAATATGAAACTTGTGCTCATAAAAAGAAACTAGCTTAGGTTTCTCCTTTCACAAATACTTTTTTCCTATTATTTTTAAATTAATTTTATTGAGAAACAAATAGCAATGAGACAGCTTCAAAACTGACTAATAGGACAGTTTCAATAATTAATACATTACTTATTGTTGTCTTCATAGTGGTTATTCATAGTACAAGATGCAGACAGGATATCCTGCCCAAACACTATTAGTACAAATCTTTCTTCTCATTGAATTAAGAGAAAGGAGCTGCATAACTATCCTAACTACTTTGTATATGTAGATACAAAATGGTCCTTCCTTTGTATCCTCTTTTTTAATTTAGTTTTGTCAGAGATGGGTATTCCATTGACATTTAAATATTGTAGATAAGTGATTTCAACACAATAATCCAATATAGTCCAGTAGTCCATAATAGTAGTGGGTTATCCACAGGACTGGCAATGTCAGAAGTTGTTGACTTGAGCCTTTTATAGCTCAGCATATTAATATGGCTTTACTTTTTATACTTTGCTTTTATACTTTCTGCGGGATGGTTAAGACTGAGATAAAGGAAGACCTATATAACAAGAAATGTAAGTTTCATATCTGACAAGGTCAGTCAAATCCCCTCAGGACTTACCCTGAAACCCGGTACCGCAGTTTGTAGATCATTTGTCAGTGTCAGCCATGTGGATGAGTAACAGCCATTGCTTGACCAATTTGCTCTCTGTGAAAGCCTGAGAGAATGTTTTCTCTCCATGCAACTCTTCTTAGACACAGTCTACATCATAGATCACATTCCTCTGTGGTCCCATAATCTCTTTGAGCAGAAAACTTGAGACATCTCTGAGTTACAGTATGTTACAGTACAGGTTCTCTTGTGTCCTGAGTCCTCACTGAACTTGTCCTCTCACAAAGACTTTAAAAAACATAACTGCCCACCTATGCACATCCAATGCCAAACAGGTTCACATAGATTACTGCCTCGCTGTGTGCTCTGCTTGGAGAGCAGCTCCCTCAGCTGGAAGTTTTCTGCTTGGCTGATTTAAATGTTGTCCACAAGAGTGTCCTGGTATCCACATGGGCTCTGAGGCAGTACAAGCTCCACATGGACTTTGCTCATTGATTGCAGTCTGAGGAGAAGACTAAACAGTCACTGATGCTGAGCCAACAGAAGACCTGACAGACAAGGTCTGTCATGGAGAGCTTGAGATCTCAGCCTTCTGCACTGGTAAAAGTTTCATGAAAAGATGTTAGTCTGGGGCAGAAATCCAGAAGTCACAGCTAGGAGAGGAGGCCCACACTCTAGAAATAATATCATAAACGAGCCAAAAGGAAGTGTCCTGCTTATTGGACTTGCTCAATAATTCCTGATACCTACTAAGGACCAGAATAGGTCTGTGTTGTCCTTCCTCACACACATAGAAATTTGTAGACAATTTTCTTATTTGCCACATCAAAGCAATACTCTGTGCCTATTTTATTTATAAGTAGATTTTTCGCCAAGGTTGTCCCTACTTCTGTTGTATGTATTCAACCTAATAAACACACCAAATTCTAGACTTTTTGCTTACACATTAGAGGCTTGTATGTTTCCAAGGCAGAATATGGAATCAGAATTTTTATTTTTATTTATTCATTTATTTTTTTGGAACCGGGGATTGAACTCAGGTCTTTGTGCTTGCCAGGGACGTGCTTATTCTACTGAGCCATCTCCCTGGCCCCAAAATTTTTAAAACTATCATTTTTTAAATATTTTCTTTTGCAGCGTTTAAAGTATGCATAGTAGAATAATTATGACTATGTATACATTGCTGTAATAGCTCCAGGAACAATCAGCTCATGCCACCATCAAAGTAATATTTGCGGTGCTGAGTGTGAACCCAGAATCTCCTACAGACTGGACAGTGATCTACCACTGAATGCCCTCCAGGCCCTCATGCCCAACTTGTTCTATCAGTACAATTACCTACTTCATACAAACTTTGTAGCTTTTAAAAATAATTTAGGACTGACCAAATAGCTCAGTGCATTAAACTACCTGCAAGCAGGCTCAGGGGCCAGGGGTTCAGTCCCTGGACCTGCCAAGCCGGCCCTGCCCTGGGGCATGCTAAGACAGCAATTGAGACTGGGCATGGTGGCACAAATGTAATCCTGGCTCTTGGGAGACAGGCAGATCACTACAAATTCAATTTAGTAGTGAAATCCTAATACCCTGTGACCCTAAAATAGAGAAAAAAACAAAAAATAAAAATAATTTAATGTTTTCAAAAGGCTGAGTTCTATGATATTAATTATATCTCAAAAATGTTTAAAATAAAAATAAAAGCAATTTATTATTACTCTAAAAGCTTAGTAGTTATGCTCTGGCTGTGGTGGCACGTGCCCACCATCCCAGATCTTGGCACCTGAGGCAGGAGAGCTGCCATGACTTCAAGGCCAGCATGAGCTTCACAGTGAGTGCAAGGCCAGTCGGAACTGTACAGTGAGGGCCTGTGACAAAGAGGAAAAAAATACTGTATTGATTAGTAACTATCTTCCCTGCCTGCCATTGTTAGGCTAATCCCTTCACCCAATGATAGTTAATGTAATACCCACCATATATATGGATAATTCTCTAATTTTTTCCCACAAAGTTTTTACATAAATATATGTTACAGAAAATCTCATTTTTTACATTATATCCTCAGAAGCATGCAAATAGAAAATTCAAATTGAGCCCTGAATTAACTAAATCAAATTTCTATTAGTGAAAATTTCATAATCACTAGAAATCCTATTTTTACTGCTCTGTCTCACTGCTTTTTCCAATCATGTGCTATTTAACTTGGTCAGCAAATTCAAATAGGTCTTACTGTCTCTGTTTCACCAGTTCAGGAATAAGTAGCTGACAATCTGAAGGGTTGTGGTCACAATAACAAGAAACAAGGCCCGGTGAGATAGCTCAGAGGTCTAAGCACCTGCTTAGGCCAGCGCAGGGACCTGGGTTTGGTCCCTGGCAACGTCTACCACACCGCTCTCTGAGCCAGCCATTGAGTCTGGGCATGGTGGCGCACACCTGGAATCCCAGCTCTGGGGATGCTGAGACAGGAGTATCACTATGAGTCCAAGCTGTGCTGCGAGACCCTGTACCAAATATATTTTAAAAAATAACAAATACAAATTTGAAAAAAGAAATAGAGCTTCTTGAGTCTTTTGTTTTCCAAATTCAAAGCCTATTCTGGACACTGCCAATCACAGGAGTGCAGTTTTTGGATAGAAGCTTTGTTCGATTAAGTGACACATTTGTGTAGACTACTCAGCTCACTCACAGGCATCATTCAGTGTGGATTTGTATTGTTTTTCTTCTTAAAGTAGGAGAATAGTCTTTGAGGCTAATGTGGGAAGGTGGTTGTCCTACTTAAACACAAGTAAGCTTTTTTCTACTTTAAAATAATAAAGGAAATTGTATCTATTTATTCCATATGTATTAGGTATTATTCATTTATTTCTCAGTTTTTAATGCATTACATATTTGGTGTGGTGCTGACTTCACCCTTGGTAGGCAAGAACTCTGATATGAGCTACATTCCCAGTCCTAGAAATCTATAACTTTCACATTGTGCATCTTAGATGAAAACATACTATTTCTGCCCATCAAACATATATATTTAAAAGAGAAGGCTGGAGAGATAGCTCAGTAGCATAAGCTCCTGCCTGGCAAGTGCATGGTCAAGAGTTCAAACTCTAATACAAAATAAAACAAAAACAAAGAGCCAGGGAGATAGCTCAGTGGCTTAAGCACCTGCCTGGCAAACATAACTTACTGAGTTTGATCCCTGGTACAAAATAACTAGAAAAAAGGGCTGGCCAGATAGCTCAGCAGACTAAAGGGCCTGCTTAGGCAGACGCAGCAACCGGGGTTCAATCCCTGGCGTGCTGTGCGGGCCCCGCCCCTGGGGCACACTGAGACTATGATTGAGACTGGGTGCGGAGGCATGCGGCTGTAATCTCAGTGCTTGGGAGGCTGAAAAGAGGAGGAGCACTAGGAGTCTGAGCTGTGCAGCGAGACCCTGTAGGTCCTGCACTAAATACATTTTTAAAAAAGAACAAGAAAAAAGGGAAATTAAAATGCCACACTTACTACAACTTAAAGTGTCAGCATGTGGTGTCTGTGACTTTTGTTAGAAATGAGAAAATCAACATTTTTGTCTTATATATACAAAATTAATATAAAAAAGAGAAAACTTGGCTATTGGGGCAACTGGGAATTGCATTTGCCCAGTTCTTACCAACTTTCTTAACACAGCTCATTTAAATTATTAGAAAGAGAACCAAGCTACTGATAAGCATTTATATCTTATGTAATATATTGATAACCATTTCCAGTTTTTAATCTGATGAAATGTCACATGAAAATATCTAAAATTTAGCAGTCCTGAAATGTCATTTCTACAAATTTCTCAGGTAGTTACACATGCACACGTGTCACTGATTCCCTTAGGGCAAGGAATCTGTATTGTCTCACTTAGAATGTGAAATCTTTATTTTCCCTGTCAGTCCTCTTGGAAGTGTTCCTTACAAATACTCCTTCAGGAGGACAAGAATGTTGTTGCTATCTCTTACACGGCATTTGACATTTGAAAAAATACTTTCATATTCATTTGCCAATTTGACATAAACAGAAATCTTTGACAAGTATATGATAATCTAAGCCTCTAAATGGGCCTGAGTACAGAGACACGAAAAGAAACTCAAATTGCGATGCCACTGTATGTTTAACACTTTTTCATGTGCTTTGCATATATTAATTCCTTCATGCAACAGCCTTAGGAGGTAAAGAAGTGGAGTACCCAGTTGTAGACAATGCGTGCTTGTTTGACCAATTTTTCATGCCCATATCTGGTAATCTGAATAAGTACTTTGATGAAAATAATGTGCAATAGAACAACCATTATTAATCTCCTATGATCTTGTTTTGAAATTCTGTATCATTTTTATTGTCTTTTTTTCGGCAGTATCAGGGATCAAATTCAGGATGTTGCACTTGCCAGGCAGGCACTTATGCCACTGAACTATAGCCTCAGCTGTTTTTATTGTCTTTAAAAGAAAAAAGAAAAAGAGGCACAAGGGTTAGGACGCTCACTTAAAATCACAACGCAAACAGCAGCCAGGAATGGAGTCCGAGCGTGTGGCTCCAGGATTCATCCTCCTAGCAGAGCCCTGCACGCTTTCTCCTGTAAACACGCTGCAGTCCCCTAAGTGTTGGTGACATTTGGATGTTAAACGTAGTGCTCTGGGCTATACTAATTCTTGAGAAATGTGGAACTTTCAGAAAATTAGTGAGCTGTTACTAGAAATCCTTTTTTTATACAGCTCGCTCAAAATTAATATTTACAGATAATGAGCTAGAGTTCTCCAGCAAGGTTCAAGATACTCTGGAAAAGAAATTCTGACTCTTGCTCACAAATTCTACCATCACGTCATGACTTTTAATGTTGCCACATTACAGGGACGTATTCTCAGTCTCTGCTCCCCAGTCCTCCCTATAATCCTGACGCACAGGACAGCAGCAGCCCCCATTAGCTTTTCTCTGTTTCCTCAAGTGGGAGAAACTTGTCCTCGCTTGTTTTAGGTCATGTTGCAGTGTTTTGCACACTGTTGACAAATGATGGGTGTTGTTAAGCAGACACCTGAATCTCTGATTTGGACTTTCAGTGAGTGAGAAATACTGCTGATGTGTGTCACTGCCTGGCCTTCAGCAGCAAAGCCAGGTCCCTGAAAGAATGGCCATGGGGAGAAGGAGGACTCTAGCTTCCAGGGAAAGGCAAGGTCACCTGTGATCATAGAGTCGGCAAGTTGGTGAGAACTTCCTGCTACTTTCGTCAATCAGACCACTTCCTTGAATAAATGAATAAAGTAGTGAATCATCCACTTATTTCTGACCCGTAGGGTACAAGGCTCATAGGTAACTCAGTGAGAAGAGAAAAAACTATTTGTTTTCTAGGGAACCCAAACATAATTAACATAATTGTTTCAAGAGTATTTAAGAGAAACCCTTCCCTGTTATTAAGCCTGTTATTTGAATGTGGCACAAACGGACCTACTAATCTACATTTATAGTTCTTCTGGGAACAAGGGATAGTCTATGATTGTCACTACTTTGAGGCAATCTTTATGACAACCAAACAAAAGAAAAAGAATGGAACCTTAAATTCTGGCAGAGGAATGACAGTTAAATCTTCTCAGCAACAATGTTTAGATAGGTAGCTCCCATCCAGTTCTAGGCAGTTTTATATCACTTGGATTTAGAATATTCAACACTGAACAATACTCTAGTTTCAATTAATTCTGGATAAATCTCACATTTGTAATTTTTACTGATGATATGAATAAGATAGGCCACTGGGATTCCTCTTTCAAAAATCTTTTATTTATTTATTTATTTATTTATTCATTCATTTATTTGGTACAGGGTCTCAGAACACAGTGCAGACTCGTAGTGATCCTCCTATCTCAGCCTCCCCAGTGCTAGGATTGTGGGCATTTACCACCACACAGCTTCATTGCCAGCACTGAATGGGTGGAACCCAGGAGCTCCTGCCTGCCAGGCAGCACTGAGACGCTGAGCTACCTCCTCGGCCCCATAATGATTCCTCAGATATGGAAAGTGCTTCCTTTGATACTGTTACATTATCATTCTCCCTTCAGAAGCCCAGCTTAATAGATACCGTGTTAATAATGCAACACACTCATACTCCAATAAAATGAATTGGTAGCAGATGCTTTCATTCTCATTTGTTTAGAGGTTAAGTATAAAGCAAAATTATCCATCATGAAAAAGAGAATAGTTAAAAACCCTGAAACTTAATTCAAAGTTCAATTTATAACGCTTGTGTTGCCCTGATTATTAACCTGAGACAATGGTAGCTAAGCAAATAAGGGTAAGATGAAACGTTCAGCTCTCTCTCTCTCTCTCTCTCTCTCTCTCTCTCTCTCTCTCTCTCTCTCTCTCTCTGTTGCATTTTTCATGATGTGGTGTTTGAAAATATATGAATTTTCACAAGATCCCCTTTCCACCAGGAGGTGGATATCCTGTGGTTTCCTGTGTAATTTAAGCACGATATCTTTCAGAATTATTTGGAGCCCTATAGTGCATATCTTCCTGGTCAAAGGCCTGACTATTTGAAATGTAAATGTTGAAAAAAAAAAGGAGTAGCTGTCCACTGATGAGTTTTTATTATATAATGTATAATTCCTTACATTTTTCTGCTCTGCACTCTGGCAGGTGAGTTTGGAGAGGTTTGCAGTGGACGTTTAAAACTTCCTTCAAAAAAAGAGATTTCTGTGGCCATCAAGACCCTGAAAGTGGGCTACACAGAAAAGCAAAGGAGAGACTTCTTGGGAGAAGCCAGCATCATGGGTCAGTTTGACCACCCTAACATCATTCGCCTAGAGGGAGTTGTTACTAAAAGTAAGTGAAGTCTTACTGTCTGCTTCTGGGTATGTTGAGTACAAACTGTTTAAACTCAAACCCGATCACAAGCATTTGAACTGGGCATGGGCCTTACGTCTGTAAAGCCACACTCTGGGAGCAGAAGCGAGGAAGACTGCGAAGTCAAGTCCAGCATGAGCAATTTAGCCGCTGAGCAAGACTGTATTTCAAACTTTAAAACATTTTAAAAAGGGCTTGGGATGTAGCTAAATGTGAAGCCCCTAGGTTCAATCTCCAGGACTGCCATTAAAATTAAGCTTTTCGGATATATATGTAGTTCTAAAAAAAAATTAAAAGTTTAAGATTAGTGATTCTTTCTTTGACATGCTATATATGCTAGATGTTGGGCTTTTTAAAGACGTGCAAATAAAAGATAGAGAATTTGGGAGAACTTTCTGGAATGTTGACAGCAAGGAAAAACAGTTACTCAATTTTAACAGGAACTCCCAGCTAGCTCGCTGCCTTGTTTTACTGTTCACTAGCTTCATTTAAACTCCCAAATCTTTACCCTTTCTGCCCTCCTGTCTTTAGGAAAATTATAAGAGTTTTGGGAATTGCTTCTGAGCAGTAAGATCGGGATCACAGTGGACACAGGGCCTTTCCTTTCCTCTCTGTCGGTGTAAAGCAGTTCTGATTCGGCTTCCCAGGTGGATTCGTGACTGCTCTGGGGTACTGGCTCACCGCCATGCTAGAGATCTGAATTTATTTCCATGATGGTTTCTCCAGCCAGGCTCTGGAGGGATCCTGAGAGGCTGATCTGTGATCCTTGGCTCCAAGCCAAAGGCAAACCTCTTGAGAATGTTGTGATACTATTTTTCCTCAAGATTTTGGAGCACAGGATGAAGAATAAGTGAAATTGGCAGCAAATTCCATACAGTGAAAGACAGCATATGGCAGGGAATTTGGCATCCTTTAGGGGATAATTCACTGGCACCATATTTGCATATTCTATGGTTAGCAACAGACATTATTCATTATATTTTTCACAATATTAGTTTTCTTTAGCTTTACGTAGAGCACTTTCCAAATGGCACTGATACCTATTCTCCCTTAAGTGTGACTAAGAAGGCATTTCCTTCTCCATAAGAAAGTAGGATAATTGAAATGTATTTTGATTTCTTTGTAAGCTTTCATATAAAATAAATAGAGCCGATTACTTGATAAAGGTGAATGATTTAACCATGTACAGTTTGTCCATGGGTTTTTTTTTTTGTTGTTGTTGATTTTATTTTTGCTAGCACTTGTTCATAAGTTTGCAGTGCTGTGTGGAGCTGGCACAAGGACACTGCCCAGCGTGGTTCCCGTTTTGTCCCTGTCTCTCGCTCCCTTCCCTCCCCTCATCTCCTGACCCCCTTCCCATTTGAGACACATCTACATCCCCACTTCCTATTATCTATAGTTTATTTTTCCTTCTCTATAGTTTTGGTTTCACATATAAGAGAAAAGATTGATGTTTATGTTGATGTGTCTGAGTTATTGGACTTAACAATTATGATCTCCAAGTGCATTCATTCTCCTGTTAAGTCATGTACAAAGATTTGTTTCTTGCCTCTGTCTGTGTTCCTAAAACTCAAGCCATAGATTTAGTAATAGTTGCATATTTCCTGACCATCCCAATATCATTAAGAAAAAATGTGTAAAAACTGCAGATATCATATATTAAATATCTTATTCAATTATGTTTCTATAACATTAACATCATGAATCGCTGCCTTCTTATATTTAGAGTAAGATTTAAATTTTATATATCTCCCTGGCCCAGTAAGCATATAAGAAGTTGGAAAATCTAAGTATATAAATTACAGTCATCTTATATATTGTAAACATAATGGGATAGAGAACTTGATTTAGATTTTTAACTTGTTAATAGCATATTTGAAATAACCATTGTTACAAGGTTCTGGCAGAGATAGAGCAAAATTCTTATAATAAAGCTTGTATATTGTATATTAAATAAATGTGACAATTTTTGTCTCCAAAATAAGTTAGCCATTATATTATTCTTCTTTTGCTATATGAAAGTGTGTTATTATGAAAGATCCATACATAGAGTGATATGTAGCTTATAATTTAATAAAAAGTCCAATTTAAAAATAAACATTTATGATCAATCCCCAATGCAGGAGGAAATGAAAATAAGCATGTGTATATCTAGATTAAGAGTCACTGGGTCTGAGATCAAATTCTAACTCAACATTAGTGGTTATGGAACTCTTGCAAGTCAAAGAAATCATAAGTACTTATTCACATGAAATGGAGAATTAACAGGGCTACTTTGCCTTATTATGTATTTAGTACAGGGTCTACTGGGTCTCACTGCATAGATCAGACTCGCAGTGATCCGCCTGTTTTCAGCCTCCCAAGTGCTGGGATGACAGGCGCGCGCCGCCACACCCAGTCTCAGTTGCCATCCCAGTGTGCCCCGGGGTGGGGCTGGCACAGCACACCGGGGATCGGACCCCAGTCTCTGTGCCTGCCTAAGCAGTCGATTTAGTTTACTGAGCCATCTGGCCTTTGCTAGTTTCACACTCATTTAAGATGAGATGAGATAATAGAAGAATATAATAAGTTGCAAAAACTATATGTAAATCTTTTTTACATGTTCTGTCTAGTTTGGAAATATTACCAAATAAAAAATCTGGGTGTATGTAAGAGAATTGTAAAAATAAATCCTTGTGATGTTTTCTTTCTCATAAGTAATTATTTTCATTATTATTACTAACTCTGTACTGGACGTACTAGGTCTATCAACTATCTCATTTTCAAATCCTTTAGAGAAAGGCCTTTGATTAAATCACTACTTGTACTTCTCTGAATTGAGCCGTAAACAATTTTAATTGTATGTCTTTTAGCCCGATGATCTTAAACAAGAGAAGGTGATAGACTCTGTGATCTTGCAAGTAGCAGAAAGCAGCAGCATGGCCTGCTCAGCGCTAGGTACTAACATGTGTTATCAATTTTACTTTAACTTCAAAAGGATGGAACCTGTTTTTAGCAAATGTTTTACATTTCTGCCATCACGCCATTAGTCCAATGATGTTGAGACTCCAACAATAATTTTCATTGGCAACATTCTTACCTAGTAAAATAGAAAGGAATTATACTAGATGAGGATAATGTACTTCTGGAAATTAAAAAATATGCCATGCAAGTCAACTATGACCTGGCATTATGTAGAAAAGTCATGCAGTAAAAATTAGGATGATTTTTCCATAATTAAACATACCTGTCTTCATATGTGTGTCTGTGTTTCAACAAAGGATTAGACACTGATTTTTTTACTTTTTTATTCCCTAAACTTAGAAGGAAACATGCGCACAAGATGCCAGACTTTAGAAGCAGTAAACCTTGCTATTTCTGCCTCTCTAAAAGAATATTTCTGAACACTTCTCAACAACATTGTATTTCAAGTGATATTTTCAGTAGAAAATATATAGGCTGTGCTTGTTTTACTAATAATTTGGAGAAGTAATTTGCTAGAATAACGAAGTTCAGAAATTCAGATAAGGCAACTTGTTTGTATACATTATGACTGCAAAACTGATAACAGCACACAGCATGTAATCCCAGCACTCTGAAAGTCTCACTTAGGAAGACAGCAAGATCTAACCCAGCTCGGTCACTTTAGCAACTTAGCAAGACCCTGTCACAAAATAAAAAGTGCAAGTTGTACTTATAAAGACTATGGCAATACATGTCAGAGAAATGGCCCTGGGTTTAATGCTCAGCACCACTGTCACTCACTCATGTCTCTATGTGAACAGTAGCTCAATTAGAAAAATCTCTGCTCAATTATTAGAGAATGAAATAAGATAATTACTCAAAATATTCTTACATATTCAAAGAGCTTGTGTCTCTTTCTGATTGTCTCGGGTGGAACGGCCACCTTTGAAACTGTAAAATGATAAGATATGCTATGTATTTTCTTCATATATTAGATAGTATATTAGATATTGTATATTTTGTATATAGTATAAAGTATCAGATAGTTTTCTAATGTTTTTGAATTGTTAAATTTAACATAAAATTTGTTAGAGGATGATTTGCATGAGCCTTAACTCTGCATTTTATGTAGCACTAGCTTATATGTACCGTAGCTGTCCCGAAAGAGTAAAAAAATTTAATAAATACATTTGATAGGGCCAGCCAAATAGCTCAGTGGATTAAAGTGCCTGCAAGCAGGTGCAGGGACCGGGGGTTTGATCCCTGTGCCCGTCCTGCTAAGCCCACCCCCCGGGGTGTACTGGGATGGCAATTGAGACTGGGCATGGTGGTGCACACCTGTCATCCCAGCTCTTGGGAGGCTGTAAACAGGCGGATCACTATGAGTCTGATCTACTGGCAAGACCCTGAATACCCCGTAGACCCCATCCCTAAAATACAGAAACAAAACAAAACAAAACAAAAAGCCATTTGATTAATGATTCTCTGGGTGCTGTTAATGTTAGATGAACTTTTGCATAAAAATCCCTAAATCACAAACCTAGTGACATTTTGATATTAAGTAATAGAAATATTATCATAAATAAAATAACAGGTTATTGTGATACATAAAAATTCTATAACCGAATAACCAAATAGCTGTATTTAGCAGTGTGTGCAAAGGAGACCACAACCAAGTTGAGTTCATTCCAAGAATTCACAGATGGTTTAATATTTTAAAATGTTCAACTATTTACAACACTGATAGATAAAAAGAAAATTCATCTCACTAGGCACAGAAAATGACATTTTGAAACTTTAGTTTCAAATGTAACATACACAGAAAATATGTATGCCAGATACAAATAAGCCAACACCACCAAAAGAAGAAAAAATATACCTTAAAAACTATATTCAATATTATTGTATTTCTTTAACAGTTGAAACTAGAATCCTGCTATCATCACTTCACTGTGTTAAATATCTTATACTTCAGAATTAGGCATGATAAAGGCCAGATATCTTGAAAAGATAGCATAAAGCCATCCTTGTAAAATTGAGCAGCATGTTCACACTATTATAAACATGAATTGCCCTTAGCTTGCTCAGCCTCTACTGGAAAGAGGGAAAGTAGCATTCAGTAATTGTGATTTAACTCTTATATCAGTTTTAGCACAGAGAATTTGAAATATTTTAAAATAAGCTGAATATTGAGCATTGTACATGATAAGATTGAGAGTACCATTAGATAAGGAAGACGCAAATGTGGTATTTCTCAGTCTGATTTTGAAGAGAAGACTCGGTCTCAGTGAGTCTTCATAAGGGCCATAATCTCTTCCCTTGTAGATGGCTCACTGTCAGGCAGCGGGCTTGGCTCTACAGCCCGCGCAGGTGGCCGCTGCCCTGGTGCACCTCGAGCCGCAGGTCTAGCGTCACTCATTACGACGGAATAATGTCCCGATGAAGTCAGAATTTGGAAAACATTGCTCTGTGCTTTTGCAACGATTTAACGAGAAACTCTCTTATAATTCCATTTATTGCAACATTTCACTGTTTTAGTTTTAAATCTTGTAGCTAAGAATATAGCTAAAATATTTTTCTCATCAAAGATGAATTAAGTCTCGTCTTAAGAACAATGAAGTAATTCTTGCTAATTTTCTTGAACCTTCTCTCACTTGTTTGTATCTGCTTGCTTCCACTCTGATTCTGATTGCATTCTACTAGGATGCCACATGCTAAGATCAAAGGTTTGATTTCATAAGCCACACTCACGTCTGCTTAATTGCTCCAAAAATAAGATATAGAGTGTTACATAAAATTATTGCTATTAGTATAAGACAATAGCATTTCCTATAGAAATTTTAATACTTCATATACTTTAAGCGTTTATAAATATTTTGTTTCTTAATCCAAAAAATAACATTTCTAAAAATTACAAGGAAAATATTTGAATTACTAATTCAATTTTGTAATTGAATTACAAAATTCAAATATTTGAATTACTAATCAAAGTATTTGAATAACTAACATTTCTAAAAATTACAAGGAAAATATTTGAATTACTAAATATTTGAATTACTAATATACTAATTACTATATTTTTTTCATGACGTTATTCTTCTCTGCTTTTAGAGGAAGTGTCAATAGGAAGGATGCAGTTAAATACCTCGTGCTGAATCTGGGATTCTTAGATCTTTTCAATCACATTTCTGTCATCAAGCAGTAATTCAATGATTACAAGTATCTCAGCCTTTGGAGATAGGGGAGGACAAGGAGCCAATCTTGGCAGACTCATTTTGTTCTCTTTATTCTGTGAACGCTCACCACAATGTCTTTACTCGAACATCAGGTTAAGAATAGAAGCACAACTGCACTCCAGACTTGCTGAGCTTATTTTTGGTAGAGTTTTGTTCCAGCCAGTCCTAAAACAGTAGCTCCACTGAGTTTGGCCTGTAGAGCCAGCTAGCATTCGTGGTTGTTTTCAGAAGACAGTAAATAAATAAAGGCTGTCATGAAGAATTCTATTTTCAAGAAATCCATCTATAATTTGTAAACCAAAATATATATGAAATATTATGCACACCAGACTACCAATCCTTTGTATAATCAGCAAGTTGTCTATCATAAATAATTTCCCACTGTATTGAATGCATGTTAGAGTCAGCTCTTCACCACTACCTCAGAAACTGTTTCTGTACCCGTATTTAACTAAATTAAGATCATAAGGGAGACTGTACAAGAAAACATTGCTTTCCAGTGTAGATTACTTGGGATTCTGTTTACTCTCTGTATATTTTATTTGTAGAATCTTTGAATTTAATGCAAAACATATTTTCAGACTACCTACCTAACTGATCTGTTTACAAATACCTAAATTATAGAGTTAAATGCAGTCTGATCTGATTTATGAATGGTCATGGGGCTTTGCCTTAATTGACTGGTTTGATATTTAGCTACTTTTATTTCCTTTGACAAACATTCTACTAGACATGCTAATGAGAAGTGAATTGGCCACACGGCTGTGAGCCAGAGGATGGAGTGATAAGCAAAGGCCCGAGTAGTGCACACGGCAGTGACTAGCCGTCCGAGGCGAGCTCCCTGACTCTGCTGGAAGAATGCACTGAACTTTTACAGTAAATTTTACTTCTCTCCAGAATTTCATCAATTCTCTCTCATCAAGGAAAGAGAGATTGAGAACAGTCTACAGAGAACATCCATGTACAAGATTTCATTCATTCATTCATTCATTCATTCATTCATCCATTCATTCATTCATTCACTTTTTTCCAGGCCAGGTTCTATGGACAATAGTTTAGAAAGTGTCAGAGGTTCTAAGGCCAGAGTCAGCCTTCTAGTTCTTTGAGAATGTTGTCCAAATCACATTTAGTTACAATTTGAAAGAAACAAGGATTAAGACACAAATGTTTTGCCTAACTTGACTTTTCAGATATCATATCAATTAGGTATATGAGCAGTGGCACCTAAAGAATATAAATAGAGCAATGCCTTAGCTTAATAATGGAAATACATCAATGTATTTATTAATAAACATTTAAAAATTGTCTGGGAAATTTTACAGCATTTAAATAGTTTTTTGTTTCCTCAATAAAAAGGCATATTTTATGATGCATCCAGCTTTCTAAATTTATTAAATATAACATTCATGGTACTCATCTATGATTTGAAAGCAGTATAAATAGCTTTCACATATAAAAAGAAGATGAGTTATTTACTAGTACAGCAAGGCAAACTGACCCTCACATAGAAGGTATGCATGAAGAAATTTTATAGGCTTGTTATACATTTACACAGACATAATTTAAAAATTTTTATTATTATTATTAACTTTTTTGAGTTTATTTTAGGGAAGGGTCTACAGGGTGTTCAGGGTCTCACTACTAGATTGGCCTTATAGTGATCTGCCTGCTTACAGCCACCCAAGAGCTGGGGTTGCAGGCGCGCGCCACCACGCGCAGTCTCAATTTCCCTCTCAGTGTGCTCCACGGACAGGGAGGGCACAGCAGGCCCAGGGATTGAACACCCAGCCCCTGTGCCTGCTTGTAGGCACTTTAATCCACTGAGCTTTTTGGCTGGCCCTACAATGTCTTTTTAAAGGTAGTATTTATTCAAGATCTTCAAATAATCTTCCACTAAAATTTAACTCAGTCTTCTGGACTTGGAAAAATAATAATTTTCTTTTTATTGGAAATATTTATAAATAAACAACATAGTGATACTACAGCAAGGTTCTATAATGTGATGATGCATCTCAGCTTTAAAATAGCACACAGTAGGGCCTGGGACACAGCTTGGTGGTCTAAGAACCCATCTGGCAAGTGCAAGGACCCAGGTTCGATCCCTAGTGCCAACCACCAAACCTGGGCATGGTGGCACACACCTGTAATCCCAGTGCTGGAGAGGCTGAGACAGGAGATCACCACAAGTATGAGCTGCATAGCTAGAGACTATATCAAATAAATAAATAAAAGATTAAAAAATGTAGGACACAGCAATATCTGGGATTTGCTCAATCACTAACTAATTCTATGACCCAACAAGTTACACAGATTTACAATGCTTGCAGATAAAAACCAGCAAAGTAGGAATCATGACTATTACTAAAGCATAAGGACATACTGAGAATGAAGTGATACAGTACATTTCAGGTACCTAATGTAATGTTGCAAAGATTTAATTCTGGGAAGAATGTGCTGGCATTTCCTGTATTTCACGTTCCCTAAGTCCTTTGAAGTACTTTTCATTGTGCATCCCTTAGTTATCGTCACAGTGTGTATATAGTGATGTTTCAGCTTTATCCACATAACACCCCACTACTCAAGTTGTTTGCTGCATCATTTTCCTTCACAGCAGCCTATTAACCTGGCATGAAAGTTGACTGATTATGATTAATATTTATTTTATTTTTAGCTAGATATATACAGTATACTTAGCATCTTTTTGGCTGATGTTTTCATATTTTAACAGTTTTCTTTATTGACAGCATATTGTATAAAGTTGGGAATTTTTAGTATAATAACTTCTTAGCTGTATGACACTGTAGATTAGTTAACTTCAGTCTCAATTTTCCCATGTGTAAAATGGAAATAATGTTAACATATTTGATAACTGATCCTGTATTTTGCACTTAATAATTACCAATGAGTAGATTAGGTTGCTATTTTAGAAGAATTAGTATTATTGAAAGACATTTCCAAGTGGTTACTACAAATTATTTTCCACAGTAATTTTAATTTTAATTTCATTTTCTTTTTGAACATTATAGGGATCTTAGAACTGAAGCCATGTAAAAGGATTATTATTGTCTTGTTTTGTGCAACTGTCCTCTATAATCTGTAAAGAGGAATGCTGATTTACTTGTTTCTCTGTAATCTGCACTAAAGAAAATACATGAAGATAGCCTTATAAAAATTGGAAGTGAGAATACATGAATGTTGAACTCTCGGCTCTATCTTAATATGAAGGCAAATTACTTGATTTTGAAAGTTAGTTAAGGTGCCATTAAAGGAAAAGAAGGATTTCGTGTTCATGAGAAATGGTGTGAAACAGCACAATTCTTTTTTTTTTTTTCTTTTTTTTTCTTTCTTACCAGGAATCAAACTCAGGACTTTGTGCCTTCCAGGACACACACACACACACTTTTTTAGAACAACTCAAACTGGTATAAACCTTTGTGCTGGAAAACGATCTCCATTTTCATTTAATTTCAATTTCTATTGAAATCTAGATTTTGTTCCTTAGTAGTTTTATATTTGCAACGTCGTAAGCTTGGGAGAACAGAAGTTCTTTTATCTTTATATTCAAGTGTATCAAACTGTGTAAGTATTTTTATTGCATGGCTCTCGTTGAACTGTACTGATGACATGTTATTTCCGATGCTCTTAGGTAAGCCAGTTATGATTGTCACAGAATACATGGAGAACGGTTCCTTGGACAGCTTTTTACGTGTAAGTGACGTATGTACCATGAGCATGTGTGTTTATGAATGAGTTGCTACAACTGTGAAGGAAACCCTTCCATGCGGTACCAAGCAGCTAGGAGACCTACATTTCAAGTGTAACCAAACTCTTCTGATACAAAATAGGAAAAACTGTTAAATGACATTTTTATTTTGCAGGATCTAAGTATTGTTAAATTTTTAATGGGCAAATTTTAGGCCTTTTTATTGTGCTCATATTCACACCAGTTAACATATAACTAAGCATAAAAAACTCTAAGGCAAGACATAAATAATTCAAGAAAGAAATATACCCTTGTGCTTGTCTGAAGCCACCTCAATCTGATGTGAAGGACCATCTAGGTCTCATCTAGCGCTGCCTAGCATGAAAGCACGTTTTGTAACATGCTAATAGAGGGAGTAATTCTAGCAATGCTTCTCTTAAAATCTTTAGATTTTGAATGTTTATATTTTGTTATATTTAATAGAATTTTAAATATTTCAAGAAATACTACGTTCATAAAACTACGGAACATTTATAGGCTCTAAGACACTACAAACCGAAAGGCACTGCAAACAAAGCCTAGGAAAACCAGGCGTCCCGCAGCAAGGAGCTTTTCACGTTCACACACTTTTCTTTTTATGGCTGCATGTGTGCTGAGCACAGTGACCACATTCTTAGGGAGGACCACGACACGTTTGTGACACTTCTGAACTGCTGCTCCTGCTGTCCCTCCGCTTCCTTCTGCCTGCCATAGCTTTTGATCCTCTCCCTCTGTGCTAAAGATAGACGCGTTTCCCATCACCTTTCCTTTACTTTTCTCTTTCTTTGTATTTTTTGTTTCTGATACAAACCTTGTGCTGTTTAGTTTATATTATTTTAAATTGAGAAGATAAGTAATAACTAAGTACATGAGAGATAAAACAAATAGTACAATTTATAGTCTTGGAGAAAAATTCATTTTTTCTAAGAATGAAAAATGAGGCTGGGTAGATGGCTCAGTGGTATAAGCGCTTCCCTGGCAAGCTCAAGGGCCTGAGTTCAATCCCTGCTTCTGCCAAAAATAAATAAATAAATAAACAGTGGTATAAGCGCTTCCCTGGCAAGC